GTCGTCAATCTCTTTGAGCCCACATTCACAATATGTTATTTGGGCGAGTTATATGCAGTGCTTCAGATTTTTAAATTTCTCTTTCTAAGAAAAATATGATTTGACAGTTTAGCACGCCCTTCTGCTGACCTAACTTTAAGAATGGAGGGAATCAATTAGAGTACAAATTTCAATTAAAAAATTTAAAAGATGCTTAGCAGAAAACTGGAAATGTATGTGCCAACTGTTCACTCTTGACGCTACAGTTTTCTGAAAATTTCTAAACGAATTCTGTTTAGTAGACGCTGGTCCCTTTACCCTAAGCCCCATTCTCGCCCCCTCCAGCGCTCCCACCCTCCCCCCATCCGGCCTCGGCGCACACACCCTCACACCCCTGAAAGCACTTCACCCCACCCCAGCCGTCCCCACCCCCATCACACACACACACACAAACACTCACACACTCACACACACACACTCACACACACTCACACACACTCACACACTTACACTTGTGCTTTCAGGACATCGAAACAGAGGATATTTCCCAGGGGAAAGAAATCCTGCCTGGCGAGATCTCCCCATTGGTTGTTTACCCGGAGAAATCTACATGTTTAAGGGGGATGGTGCATCCATAATCAGTCTGTCCCTATAGGACTCGGGTCTCGGCGACCTTTTTGTGACCTCTCCCGCCAGAGGAGGCTGCTGTCACTTTAAAAATTACTGAAGGAGGATCACTCTAGGCGGCGGGAGATAGCTCCTTTTCTCCCTCGCCCCGGGTTCTTTCTGGATGGCCGAGCAGAAAGAGACAGTTCATGAAATAGAAACCCGGCGGCTGAGCTTGGAGTTGCGAAAGGGGACGATCCCGTGAGGATCCGGGACCAGGGAAGGCGCTGCGGAGGATCGGAGAGGGGGCTAGAGCTGCCCTCGCCCCCCCAGGCCCCCCACCTTTTCACACTCTCCTCCTCCTGCCGGTGCCCCCCACCCCAGCCCACCCCCCAGGAACTAGGGAAGAGAAGTGGAAGAAGTTTTAGTGGGTTTCAGATAACTTTCATTACACATCGTGCTGATAAGAGCAAGAGAAAGTGAGAAAAGAGGGAGGTGATGTGAACCAGAAGGAATAGCTCTGAGCTCATGTAGGAAGGGAGAAAAAAAGCCCAAACACACCAAACTCGGGTCACCCAGACGACAGAAGACTTCATTTCTGGTCTTAGAAATACACTGTTGGAGGACAATAAACCCGAAACGCGTGGTCCCGGAGAACAGATCCCAGAGACGGACAAAGTTGTCAGAGACCCATTCGGAAATCGAGACGCCAGGCTTTTTTTTTTTTTTTCTCCCCCCCCATCTCGAAACGTTGCTCGGGATCGTTTGAAAGGATTTTCATGCAGGAGCGCTGGGGGCTGCTGGTTATTTTGTTCTGTTTATTTGAATTCTTCTGTGATTGCCTTTTATTGCTGAGTTGAGGCCATAGAAATCTTAAGGTAAGAGAACTCGCTGGAAAAGTCTGGCGACGTGCACAGGCTGTCACCGGGACCGTTTCCCGCCGTGGCACCCCTCCGCCGCGCCCCCGCCCCAGCCCGGCCTCCCCCGGCCGCGGTCTCGCCGAGCCGGGCACGTCTGTGCGCGGCGCAGCCGGCGATTTCCTGGTTCCT